AGAGCGCCAATGCTCTAACCACTGAGAACACTGGCCAGGGCTTCTAAAAAAATACATGTTTTTATTGATTTGAGAGGGAGAGAAACAGCAATGTGAGAATGACCTGCAACCCCCAATGGGGATAGAGCCTGTAACCTGCATACTAGTATGTGCCTTGAAGTGGAATCTAACTGGCCACCTTTGGTTCATAGGACAATGTTAGGGCTCCTATTCTTTATTATGCAGATAGGCATGGTCACCTTCCTGAAGCTTTTTTTGATATATTACTGATTTTTTACAGAGAGGAAGGGAGAGGGATAGAGAGTTAGAAACAACGATCAGCTGCCTCCTGCACACTCCCCACTGGGGATGTGCCCGCAACCAAGGTACATGCCCTTGACCGGAATCGAACCCAGGACCCTTGAGTCCGCAGGCAGATGCTCTATCCACTGAGCCAAAACGGTTAGGGCTCCATTGGCTTTTAAAGAGAGTAGGAGCAGGGGAGAGAAGAACATCAACGTGAGAGAGACACGTTGGTTGCCTCCTGCATGTGTCCTGACCAGGGCAGGATGAACCTGCCACTGAGGTACATGCCCTTGACCAGTAGTTGGACCCGGAGACCCTTTGGTCCATGGGCTAAAGCTCTAACCACTGAGAAAAACTGGCCAGAGCTCATTTTAATTCTTCATATCACCGCGCAGGCCCTTGTCCTCGGGGGCATTGCCACCTTGCACTGTGATGACTGCTTTCCTTCAGCCTAGCAGTGGCAGGGCTGCGCCAAAGGTGGCCGCACACAGCCCAGGGCGGCAGGTTGCCAGCAGAGAGCCGCTTGCCCTCCTGGGTACTTTTATTCTAGTAGAAGAAATAAGGCGTATACACCAGCTGTGAGAGGATGAGCAGAATGTAGTAAATATAAATGCCATATAAAATCAGGAGGGAAAAAAGGAGAGAGAAAGTAGTTCTGGTAGGAGACAGAAGATGCATCAGGAAGGAAACAGATGAGAAAAAATATGGGTTGAATTTTATCCTGTAGAGATAGGCAAGGCCATTAGAAGAGCCTGTACAAACAAGTTCAAGGTACATTCAAAAGATGATGAGCAGCCTTCTTTCAGTTTTGTTGCTTCTTTTTTTAAAGAGCTCTGGAGAAAATGTAAATAAACATGCAGAAGAGAATAAAAATCATCCAGAGTTCTGTTATTCAGAGAAAAGTTCTGTGAACATGGTGGTGTGTTTCCTTCCATTCATCGTCTCCACATGGTTAGATTAGAACCGATGTGACACTGTGCGTGGCTCCTGGAGACGTGTTGCTGACATTGTTACTCACGAGCAAACACTGACAGATGCCCAAGTTCTCTGATAAGTTCATGACAGCAAGTCTTCCTGGGCCCGAGTGAGTCAGGCCGTGTGCCTGTGGACACCTTACACTCGGAATGAGTTCAAGGCTGAGTTCAAGAGAAGGATATGTGGCTCCTCGAAGGCACTCGTTGCAAATCTGTTTTCTGTTCACGAGCCAATAAAGACACGGGTGGATCTACATACATTTGCTAGAACATAGTTTTAGACTTGAAATTCTACTTTTCATCCAAAAGTGAAAATTTTTCCATTCTCACATTTAATGTTTAAGATTCAAATGGTACAGATAAGAATAAAGTAGCAATTACCTGAAATAACACCATCCAAAGGTAATATATTTTTGCCAGTGTTTTCCCAGCCTTTCTCATCCCCCAACTCCTAAATTATGGTCATCTTTCTGTATCAGTAAATATCAACCAGTACTTCTTTTTTAAGCAGTCTTTTTTTCTTTTTTAAATTTATGAGAGAGGGAGAGAGAGAGGGAGACAGAGAGAGAGAGAGAGAGAGAGAGGGAGAGAGAAAGCGAAACATCGATTGGCTCTCCCACTTACTGATGCATTCATTGGTTGATTCTAGTATGTGCCCTGACCCGGGATCAAACCTGCAACCTTGGTTTATCTGGACGCTGCTCTAACCAACGGAGCTACCCGGCCTGGGCCAGTACTTTCCATTTAGGGACAAATTGCTGACATGCTCTCCAGCTGGTTGCTTTCCCGCCAGTAGTTATGCTAAAGGTGGGTATAATTGGTCTAATTATTTTGGTAAATTTTATTGAAATGTAACAGACAGAAAAGTATACAGACCATATGAACGTTTAATAAGTAAACACTTAAAAATCCAGCATCCAGATCAAGAAACAGCGCATTACCAGCACCCCTAGAAGCCACCCTCATGCCTTCTGTCATTCACCACTTCCCCGAGGTAACCACTGTTCCGTTACCTGTCTGATTTGTAATCTGCTAATCTGAGGGCTAAATAATATGTTGTTTTTGCTTCTGGTCACTGTTATGAAGTCACTACTTAGACTGTTTGTAAGATGCGTTGTAGGGCCCTGGAGGCTTCATCCCTCCAGGAGAGAAATGAGGGGCGTGTGTTGAAGGTGCGGAACATGGGCTGGCTGGCCACGGCGGGAAGGAGGTCAGAGCAGAGGTTCTGCAGTGTGGTCTTTGTGGTATGCTGTTTTCTCAGTAAAAATCTGAGTTCCTTTGGGACAGGCACTGCGATTAGAAAAATAAAAAGCTCTGCCTTCCTTTGAGATGACGGATTTCAGTATCTTCTGTAACTGCACAGTGTGCGTGCTGTGTGCCTGGACAGCAGCAGGGATGTGTGGCGAGAAGCTGACCTCTGCTGGAAGCTGCTGGGATGCCTTGGAGGAAGGAGTTCTTGTCTTCCCTGCTAGTCTTGAGTTCACCTCAGGCCGGCCTGCCTCTAGCGACTTCCCATGCGTTTCTTTTCCTTGTGCTGTTTTTCTGTGTGATAGCAAAAGCTTCTTACCAAAGTGTGAGTTTTTCTGTGTGACAAGGTCTTCATAAGCATTCTAGCAGTTGACTATTAAAATGAAATATGCAAAAACAGCCCTCCAGGTTGTAGCTTGTATACAAGCCATGAGATCCAATCCTGGCGCTTCACACCAGAGAGGGTGTAACTGGCTGCTCTGTTTCTCTCCAGGAATCGACAAGGAGAACGTTGAACTCTCCCCAACCGCCGGGCACTGTAACAGTGGACGAACTCGCCATGGATCTGCAAGCCAAGTGCAGAAGCAGAGAAGCACTGGCAGTTTCAAACGTAATAGCATTAAGAAGATCGTGTGAAGCTTTCTTTGTTTCCTTTTTCAAACAGACCTAACATACGTACGTACATATGTACGTACGCGGGCTCTGCACTAGGGACCCCTCACCACCGGCTGTGATGCTGCACTTCCTGTTTATAAAGAACCCACCGGCTGCCGCGTTGCCAGATGATCAACTCTTGGAAGCATTGCCTAAATTAATGCTGCTTTTCCTGTAGCTGTTTCTCCCTCCTACTCTCGGTGTCTGGTGTAGGCAAGTGTGCAGAACAACTTCAAAGAGTGTGGGAGGTCAGGGCACTTGACCTGTGGACATGGCAGTGGTGAGAGACTGGATTCTTTCCTCCTGCCGACTGGGAAGGCCATGTGCACAGAGCCCGCCTCTGGTTTCCGCTTCCTCAAAGGGAAGTGTCCGTCTGTGCACACACTTCCAAGGTAGACATTCACGGGAGAAATAATATTATAACCCAGTATATTTAATCCGACGTTTAGCTGTGGACTTTTTTACCTTTCAGAACCGAAGGAGCCATAAAGGTCAGGCCTCAGTGGTTTCATACCAGAAGCCACAGGCGAGGTACTTCGGGGGGTGGCGGGATTTCCTATTTTGTAGTGGGTTCTTAAGAAATACTAACACTTGAGTATTAGCAATAATTACAGGAAAATAAGTGTAACCACATATATCGTAACATTACCGAATGACAGCGATGGGTTCTGAGGCCTGATCCAAACTCAGTCATCCAAACTAGTTTATTTTTTCCAGCTGATTATGTTTTAATCTTTATGCTAAAAAGTTGTTGTTTTTTGTTTTTATAAACCAAAACTATACTGAGTATAGTAATTATACATTTTCCGCTCCTCCTCTTCTTTCCTAAATCTGAGCAGGGTAATCTGTGAACAAAGTGTTGAAAGTTGTTTTAAGAAGGTAACTTGTATAGATGTTTGTATTAGCTCCAGAGCAACATGAAATGGTACGTGACTTTTTGAGTAGCTATTGCTTTTACTTTGCTTAATAATTTCCCAGAAAGAGGGAGTGTGGTGTATATTAACAAAAACGTCATTGACAAAACATAGTTTGTCTTGTATCCTTTCCCTCCAAAAGAATCAGGAATTTCTTTAGCAAAACATTTGGGTTGTATATGATAGAATCGCATTTAATCACTGTGAAAAGACTAGTCAGCCTGCATTAGTGTGACTGTAAGGGACCTTAAGAGGTGCTGCTCTACTGAATGGGACGGATTATCATGGTGTGGGGGTTTCCATAGTAACGCAGACCCAGTGTCTTTGGGGTACCTGCAGTATGCAAAACAATTCGACTTCAGTGAGCATATAGTATCTAGACGTTCCAATTCAGGACTAAACCATATTTATTACAAAAAGATATTCTCCCCCGAGTCCCAGGTTCCCTTTATACATTAAGATGTAGTGGCTTTGAGAGGGGAGTTTCCTGTAGTGCTGTTTCCTAGTGGATTTCAGTAAATTCAATTCCACAGCTCAGTCAATGAATAATGGTACATGTAAGTGTTCTGGTTTTAATAATATAACACATTTCACATTTATTCACACAGTAACAATGTAATATGTTAATGTAAATAAAATTGCTTTTGATATTCAGAAATAATAAGAATTTAATCTTTTTAATTTGTTTACAGTCCTGGGAAAAGTAAGACCATTTGCCAAAATAAAAGGAAAAAAAAAACCTTAGTATTAATAGGTATTTTGACATAAAATTATTGGAAAATATTGAAGACAGGTGCAATTAACTACACTTTTGTTTTTAACTATCGTAGAGGCTGCATTAGAGTAGATTGTTTATAATAACAGAGCAACTAAGACTATAAAGAATCTAAGACTAGCACTGGGTTTAGAAAAGGTCACTGACAACCCAGTGCCCAGGATGCCAAGCTGCTGTTCGGTCTTGGCTCTCGCACAACCCAGGGCTTCGGGGCAGGTCTCACACCTTCTTGGCTCCTGGAATAAAGACCAACATGAGCCTTCAATCATTTCGGTTTCCTGTTTTTCTTCTTTGTCGGTTAGTTTGGTGCACATGACAGTGGGTATTATTATGCTGTTTTCCTTCTCTCATCAAAATAGATAAACTTCCAAAGGTTTACTGTTAAAAAAATATTTATCTTTCCATAAACACGTTTTCCAAGGGATGGTTATTTCTTAAAGGTATGCACTGCCCTCTAATGTAACGAATGGAATGAATTCACTTAAAGTACCTCATGAAATGATCAGCGTTGCACAAATCAAATTGAACCTTCTTTGAACTACAAACATACTTTTGACCAGTACATCCTAAGAATTTGAAAACTTTCCAAGGTTTAAAATTTTCCTTGTTTAAAGAACTTCCGGCTTTTGAGGAAAATCCAGCTTTCCACATAACTAAAATGCGCAGGACGTAAGTCTCTCACGTATGCTCCCCTGAGGGATGAACTGCGATTTTCCGGGCCTCGTACCTGTACTCTGCTCGGGGAATTCTGACATTCAGAGCAAGTTGCCCATTTTGCAAAATCTGATGCAAGTTCCGTAAAGGACATTTGTAGGTCATGTGATTTTGATTTGTGGATTTTCCCCGGACTTTTTTAAGAGGAAAACATTAACTCATCACTATCCATTGTGTGTAGTCTGCCTATTTTACCACTGCCCCAGCCCCGGGGGTGTGCTCTTGTTTGCCAACGTGGAGACACCGTTCACTGGCTTAGGGGGAAGTGGCGAGGGCTCTGTGCTTCGTCACTCCACACCTGTTCCCTTCTGGGTGCAGATCCTGAGCCAGGCGCCAGGTCAGAACGGATGTTCTGGGCGGGCGAACGGAAGCGGGCAACCCTCCCTGCTTGGTGGTCTTTAGGGTTTTTCAGTTTTGTTTGGGGTTTTTGTTTCATTTTTTTTTTTCCATTTCCTTCATCTCCTGGCATAATGAGGCATGTCTTAGTCAATGTTATGCAATGGACTTCTACGAAAACTCACTTAGTGTCAGCCACACAATTTTTTTTAATGCAGTATATTCACCTGTAAATAGTTTGTGTAAAATTTGACAGAAAAGTATATTTACTACACTGTAAATACATGTGATGATATATTGTATTATTTTGCTTTTTTGTAAAGCAGTTAGTTGCTGTACATGGATAACAAACAAAAATTTGATTATTCTCGTGTTAGTGTTGTTAACTTTTTCCTGCGACTGCGTTGCATCGTTTAAAGAAAATGCTGTGTATTATAAACTTACATTGTATATGATAACTCCCTCTCCTTTCCATCAGACCTACACTCAGCAGTTCCCTGTTAATACTGTCAGCAGCTGTTCGCCAGCAGGAGAAATACTGCCCAACAGACAAAACCGGTCATTGGAGGGGACATGGTAGAAACCTATTTCAGACCATTGTTCCCCACCCCATTTTCCTCCCTGTGTATGTACTCCCCTTCCCCCCTTTTTTAAGTAAAATGTAAATTCAATCTGCTCTAAGATGTGGGGAGTTATTTAATTTCTTCACATGCATCAGCTCCGTTTCCTCACTTTCCTCCCTCCTCGCTGATCTTTTGAAAGATTAAGGCCGGTTCCTTTCTTTGAAGGATGTGTTGGGTTCCTCTCCACCCCTCCCACCCCAGCCCTACCCCCTACACCTCCCCTCCCCGGCCAGTGGGTTTCCATTCCAGATCCTCTCTCAACTGTTAAAATGAGTAACTTTGGTGAAAGATGTTGGGGAAGGAAAGGTTTTCCTCTGGCTTCTTAGGATTCCTGGCTGGGTGTGACAATGAAACCAACAAAGACAGGTTAACAGGAGAAAAGTCTACAACGTTGTAAGTTTTATGTGACACAGGAGCCTTCGGGAGGAGATGAAGAGCTGACAGAACCGTTAGGTGTGTTTCTGCGCTGGGTTTAGCACAGAGGGGTCCTTTGTGCAGAAACAGCAGGTCCGAGGACGTGCTAAGTAAACCGGACTGAGCGAGGCCTGTCGGTTCCTGGCCTTGTCTTCGGAGACAAGGATGCTCCTTCCTTCTGGTCACAGGGAGGGCCCCTCTCGCAGGAGGATTTGTGCCCCTGTTTCCGGGGAGAAGGGCCGGGGAAAGGTCAGAGTGACCTTCCGGCCTCAGCCATGTTCTCAGGCTCCAGCTCAAGATAGTTGGGATGCCAAGGTGCCATATTTGGGGGTTTTGTGTCCTGAATGCCACCAAATGTATTTTTAGGGCCTGCCAGACCGAGGGTGACCCTATTCTCTGGGATCAGCTGCCTGGACTTCTTTTAAAATGAGCAGTCGGTCAGAAAAGCCAGGACACTTTTAAATTAAACAAAGGGCTAAAGGACCATGAGCTAGACACCTGCTGGTGAGAGGCAAGTGCTGAGGAGGCAGGTCCCTCCCCTGAAGAGATGGCTAGTCCTTGGCCCGGCCCACACCCCTGAGGCAAAGGCAAACTCTCCAGCTGTGGCCCCGGGGGAGGGAGAGATCAAAACTCATTTCCCTGTGTGCCCAGGCATACAGACCAGAGCAGAGGATCCCCAAACACTGCAAACAGCTCTCCCCCTTTCCCTGGTCACAGTAGGGATGCCTTCAGGGAACGGACCCTCTGTCCCTAGACAGCTCCTTGGTGTGGATCACGTGGTTTCTCTTTTACGGGGCCCCTGTGCCCCCGTTTTGCCTGCACAGTGTTTGCCTTCTGTCTGGGACACCCTCAGGCTAGTCTGGGGACTTGAACTACTTGGCCAGAAACCTTCATTCCCATGGAGGTGGGGAGGGGCAGGAGGCGCTGGAAGAAGAGTATAAATGTAACCTACATCACAGTGTTCCCCTTTTTCTAGGAAGTAGTCCAACACTCCTGACCCCCGGGGCGCGCCCCTAATGGAGGCAGGCATTTCCCTCACCCCGCATTCTCCCTTGGTCTCTATCAGTAAGACGTCTTGGCTTGCTCACTGGCAGGGTTGGTGACTGAGGATTTGGGTCTTGAAAAATGACCAAGAGCTTTGTCCTGGTGGAGATGTGTCCATTAAGCAGCTGAAATAGGGTGTGGAGTCGTGACTGTGTAAGGAGG